CCGCAGCAAGCCCCCCACCGATCGCCGTCACGACGCCCAAGTCAGGGGCAGGGCCGAGGACAAGAGGGCTCACGAGGTGCCTGGCCTCAAGGCCACTCCATCGCTTCCTCTCCGGCCACACGAGGCTCCCCATCTGAGCACCACCGAGCCAGACCCGGTGGCCCAGTTCTTCTCCTTCCCTGGTGGCCGTGCTCTCTCGCCCCCGCCACGCACCGACGTCATGCAACTAGAGATCAAGAACGCCATGCTCGAGGCGCTCAACTCTCCGCTGGACTTCGAAGATGGTGGCCGCTCGCTGCCCCACACTACGACGCGCCACGGGGCCATCGACAACTTCCCGGAAGATGACATCCTGCCGTGCATCGCCGACCTTGACGCTCCTCTCAGCAGCTCTTGCATCACACTCCGGCCCCCTCAGCGGTGGGGTTCCAGGTCACCGCCATCACCTAGAGGGTTGACTTCCTCCACATCAACGCCGGCCAGGGGAGCACCAGCCAGGCCGATGGGCTCTAGCAGCTGTTCAAACCCACCCAAAAGGCCATCCTCGACGCCCCGCCCGCCCGGCCACGCTCCTCTGCTCCACCAAAAGCGAGGGCAACCTCCGCTCCCTCACGCCGGAGTGCACGTTAGGCTGCGGCCGGCTGTTCCGTGCCGGTGGCCCAGCGCGCGGCTCTACGTCTCGTCCAGGAGCTTGGCGGTCTCGGCCCAGAGGACAAGATGACCCCGCAGGCGGTGGCGGCCCTGCTCAAGCGCTTCGAGGAGCCACTGACACACAGCGACATCAAAGCGATCGCAAAGCTCACCGGCCTGGACAGCAAGGCTCTGGAGATCGCGATCGGAATGGCAGGCCCGGATGGTGATGACGTAGTTTGATCATGTTAGGTTTATTAGTTAGTCTTCGTCGGCCACTGGTCTTAAACTAGTTTGAGTTAGGTTTAGTCTTCATGTGTAGTCTTCGGAAAGCAGGATTAGCATCTAGACGTCGCCGGAATTTTGGGTCTATTGGAGGCCGGCGACGCCCCCCGGTTAGCAATAATGTGTGCTGTGATATTTTCAGTATTAATGATAGTCGACGAAGCGAACATTGTAGTCTCCATGGTTGACACGAACTACAGGATTATGTCGTGGAACATTAGGGGCCTGAACTCGACGGCCAGGTGATCAGCAGTTAGAGAGGTGGCGCGTGCAAATAATATAGCAATCCTAAACCTGCAAGAAATGAAAATAGAGACATGGACTTCAGCCATGGCATGTGATGTAGGGGGCAGCATATTGCAAGGCTGCATTGTGCTCCCAGCTATGGGCGCAAGGGGCACGGCAATCTTCTTGGATAAACAGAGAGTAGAGATTAGGAATCAGATCATCGCCGGCTTCTCGATCACGACAAAGGTGAAGATCATCAGTAGTGGGTGTTCCTTCTGGATGACCATAGTCTATGGACCCACGAATGACCTGCAGAAAGTAAACTTCCTCTCAGAATTAGCAGCGATTGCGCCACCCACATCGGAGCCATGGATGATCAATGGCGACTTCAACATGATCTACGAAGCCAGAGACAAAAACAATTGCAACATCAATAGGAGAATGATGGACCGTTTCCGCAAGGCAATTGATCTGGCAAGGGTCAAAGAGATTAAATGCAAAAACATGAGATTTACATGGAGCAGCGAGAGGGAGGATCCAACTCTGTGTAGTATAGATAAGGTTTTATGCAACTTAGCTTACGAGAATATGCACCTGAGTTTTGTCCTCATGGCGGCATCCACATCATTCTCAGATTGCCCTCTAATGTTAGCTAATGGAGATAGACATGTCACCAAGGCTAGATTTAGATTCAAGAACTTCTAGACAATTTTCCCACACTTCTAGGAGACAGTGCAGCATGCTTGGGAGAGGCCAGGTCATCACGACTGCCCGTTTATCAGGGTGAAGAAGAAGATGGAGAGAGTAGCGACGGACCTAAAAATTTGGAGCAACACTTTGTTTGGGGGTGCAAACCTGCAATTCCACATTGCCAACGAGGTCATTCTCCGTCTCGATGTGGCTCGGGAGGCCAGATCATTGACGGCAGAAGAACACCATCTGCGGAAACAACTGAAGTTGAAAGTACTTGGACTGGCAGCAGTTGACAGGGCCTGGAAGAGGCATGCTTCTAGAATTTCTTGGCTCCGAGCGGGCGATGCCAACTCAAAGTTCTTCCATGCTCGCCTCCTATCTCGTAGGAGAAAAACTACATCAACGGAGCCGCAGGAGAAAGCAAGGCTAGCCTTTGATCACTTCGCCCGCAGCCTCGGTCGGAAACAACATCGGAGCTGCACGCTTAATTGGGAGCAACTCCATCTACCAGCCATCGACCTGCAGGGCATCAATCTCCCCTTTAGCGAGCAAGAAATCTGGGCGGCCATCAAGGCATCTCCTGCTGAGAAAGCGCCCGGGCCGGACGGCTTCACCGGGAAATTCTTCAGATCATGTTGGCACATCATCAAGCATGATATTGTGGCGATCTTCCAAAAATTCTACAACCTAGCGGTAGAGAACCTCGCTGAACTGAATACAGTGTTCATTGCTCTACTGCCAAAAAAGAATGGAGCCACGGAGATGAGCCACTTTCAGCCGACCAGCCTCATACACTCCATTGCAAAGTTGATCGCAAAAGTCCTGTCCATGAGGCTGGCTACTCAGCTACAAGATCTGATCTTCCCCATGCAAACTACGTTTCAGAAAGGAAAATGTTTGCATGAAAGCTACCAATACGTACAACAGGGCTGCGTGAGGGCACTGCACCGGCAAAGAAAGCGGGCTCTGCTATTCAAATTGGATATAGCAAAAGCTTTTGATTCAATCTCATGGGCATACCTGCTGGAACTGATGGAAAGACTAGGTTTCCCTGCAAGATGGCGAGATTGGATCGCGATGATGCTCTCGTCGGCCTCCTCTTCGGTGTTGCTAAACGGGGAGTCGGGCGACCACTTCTGGCACCTACAAGGATTAAGACAGGGATACCCCCTCCCTCTGCTCTTTATTCTTGCAATCGACCCGCTTCATCATCTGCTTGCTGCTGCCTCAGACCTTGGGATTCTGGCGCCATTGCCGGGCCGAGGCCCAAGCTTGCGGGTGAGTCTATATGCAGATGACGCGATCATCTTTGCAAACCCATCAACGCAGGAGGTGGGTAAGCTGATGGAACTGCTGGATAGTTTTGGAGAAGCCACTGGACTAAAACTGAACCAAAGAAAATCCTCTGTTGCTGCAATTCGCTGTGAGGGACTGCATTTTCCGGATGTGCTACAGGGATTCAGTGGTCAGGTTGTCAACTTTCCAATAACCTACCTGGGTCTACCAATCATGCCAACTAGGCTCAGAATGGTGCACTTCCAATTCCTTGTCGATCAGGTAAAGGCGATGTTGGCTGGGTGGAAAGGCAAACTGCTTAACCTGGCGGGGTGACGGGTTCTCGTCAAAAGCGTCCTCTCTTCTGTCCCAACATTTTGCGATGACAGAGCTGAAGATTTCAAAGAAAATACTGAAAGAAGTGGATAAATCACAACAACGTTTCCTCTGGGCTCAAGACAAAGAACTCTCTGGAGGAAAATGTAAAGTTGCTTGGGACAAGCTTTGCTCTCCACTAGCTCAAGGAGGCCTCGGTCTCCTGGATCTGAACAAATTCAGCCGGGCTCTGAGAATAAGATGGCAATGGCTAGCTTGGGTGCAGCCAGACAAACCTTAGGTTGGCATGCATCCACCTCCTGATGATCAAGACTAGGCGTTGTTCGACCAAGCGACAATGGTCCACATAGGCAATGGAAACAAGACGAGCTTTTGGAAGGATAACTGGATCGGCAAAGCGCCGCTGCGCGCGACCTTCCCTGCCCTGTTCAGTCACGCACGCCGCAAAAACAGATCGGTTGGGGCTGCCCTCGCCAACGATCAATGGATTATGGACCTGCAACATGGAGACACATCTGCAATAGCACCATAATACCTACAGATGTGGCGGCTGGTCGACGAGGCACACATAGCCCTGGTCCCTGGTCAAGAAGATGCGATCACTTGGAAGCTAACGCGCGATGGCAAATACACGGCTAAATCAGCTTACCAGATGCAATGCCAGCAGGATCCAAACTCAAACTTCAACAGCTTTATCTGGAAGGTCTGGGCTCCCAACAAGCTCAAGATGTTCATGTGGCTTCTTGTCAGGAACCGCCTATGGTGCAACGATAGATTGCAGAGAAGAGGCTGGGCCAACGGCTACTTCTGTCCCTTGTGCATCAGGAATTTGGAAACATCTACACATCTGATCTGGAGCTGCAGCTTCTCCCAAGAAGTCTAGAGGAAATGTGCCACCTGGTTTGGATGCTCCTCGCTCGCACCACGGGTGAGACCTCAGCTGTGCTCGGCCCAGAACTGCCATCTCATCATCAGTAAGGCAGCAGCTGCCAATAGGCGCGGAGTCAGATCAATTATCATCATGATAGCATGGGAATTATGGAAGGAAAGGAATCATTGCGTCTTTCGGGCAAAAACACCCCTGACTGAAGATGTCATCTCAGCAATCAGGAACAACATCGAGCAGTGGAGATTAGCCAAAGCCAAATGCATGGAGCCCCCGTTCGGGGACACATTTAATGAAAATTAGCCGAAAGAAAGGAAGAGCTAGTTGTTTTTTCTTTTCATCCATTTGATCACTTGATCTACATGTTTTCACTGCTTTTTGCTAAATCAATGAAGCCGGTGATCAGCCGGGTCTTTTAAAAAAAAACTTTCGTCTCAAGGTCATATTTGTCAATTTTGTCTAATGCCTGCATTTTGTGCATTCGGAATCAGAGTTGTGTTCAGAGGCCGTCGTGCAGTGCAGACTGGAGACGGCAGTGCTGTGTTGAGCACCTATCCGAACGAAAATATCCGCGCCACTCCATGAAAGCCCCACCGTCCAAGTCACACTGCTCTGGCTTGGCTCTTCCACCTCCAATCCCCCAGCTCCTCAGCCTTCACCAGTCAACATGGGGATGGCCATGACCTCCTCCCCACAGCCACCACCTCCCCCGCGCCGCCGCCGCAGCCGCTTGCAGTCGGCAACCACCATCTCCGCCCCCAGTGCCAATCCCAACCCCAACCCCAAGGCCAAGGCCTTCCCCCTTCTCTCCGACGTCGGCCGCCTGCAGTCCGCCACTCCCACTCCCACACCAAACGGCAATCCTAACTCCAGCCCCAAGGGCAAGGTCCTCCCGCTGCTCTCCGACGTCGGCAGCAACCCATCCGCCATCGACTACTACTCCCGCGTCGCCTCCAACCTCGCCGGCGCCGGCCGCCTCGGCGACTTCCTCATCGCCGCAGAGGGCCTCCGCGCGGCCTCCGGCGATGCCGGATTCGCGGCCCGCATCAACTGGCACCTCCTCTCGCGCGGCGTCGTCGCCGCGCTCCGCGAGCACGGCCTACCCCACGTGCTCGAGTTTCTCCACGACGCCGACCGCATCGGCGTCCACGCCACCGTCATGCTCGACGCTGATGCGTCCGACGCCGTCGCGGCCGCCTGCCGGCAGCTGCTGGACGAGCGCATCATGGCGGAGTTTGTGGAGGCCATCGAGGCCCTAGCTAGTAAGTAATGTCGCCTCGAACCTCCTTATCCTGTGCGTTTCATCAAGCTTGGTGATACATCGATCGGGATTTGGTGCTTACCAATCATCACTCGTTTACCCTGCTTTTACAATTGGTTCGTGCAGAGGCTGAAACCTCACAGTTACTGTTACTCCCTCCTTCCATCTATATAGGGCTTAATGCGTTTTTTCGAGACTAACTTTGACCAAATGTTAGAGCAATAATATATGACATGCAACTTACACAAAACATACGGTCAAATTCGTATGTGAAAGAAGCTTCCAATGATATAATTTTCACATTATACATCTCATGTGCCTACCCCAACTTGTTTGGGACTAAAGGCTTTGTTGTTGTATTATACACATCTCATGTACCATTAGTCCTGTCAATAGTCAAAGACGGTCTTGAAAAATGTATTAGGCCCTATATAGATGGAAGAAGGGAGTAGGTTTTGCTCTTAGATGCTTTAATTCCTTGACTAAAAAGTAACATTCACAGACCGTATGTAATCGAGTTTATTGACTGATTCAGATGTTACATCAGCACGCTGCACTTGTCAGTTTGATATGGTTACTCAATAGTTGTTTTGTTTCAGAAGTACCGTTTCTGTTTGCCAAGTAGCAGTCCGTAAATCATGGAGTTGTTGCTATTTTTTGTTCACGATGTTAATCCTGAAGACGGTGGTGTTATTTCTGCACGGCATCCTGTTGGATTCATATAATGATATCTGTCATATGAATGTTTATATTACTTGTTGACATACAGTTATAGTAGCTTGGTATCTGGAATATCTGGAATCCATGAGTTTTTCAACACCAGTTGGTACTTGGTAGCAGCACAAGGGATTGTGGTTTCATTCTAGCATCAGTCCTGCATCATGTTTCTTGATCAATATATATTTTCCCATCACTTGAGGTACAATTTATTCGTTTTATTTAGCAGTCGCACATCGAATGTTCAGTGTGCAGGAGGATAAATTCTTATGTATATGTTGAAGATATCTTTGTATTTAATTTGGCCCTATTTTAGTTACTTACTGAACTTTTAAGGAACTTGGTAGGCTGGGAACATAAATTCTCTGCCACGCTGAGTGTAGACATGATATGACTCTCACGGCCTGTTGGTTGTGTGTTTTCTAGTCACATGTTACATGTAAGTATGATTTAGCTATGAATTACGGATGGAGTGGCAGTGTGGCACTCACTGTTCTGCTGATTACTCCTCTTAGGGCTTAACATTATTCACATGCAGTTTTCTTATTATGGATTTCTGCTATTTCATGCTTTGGATGGTGATGTACTTGTGAAGCTCATGTTAGTTTGAAGTTATCGCTGTTAATGTTTTTCTTTGTTATTTTTCTTTTAGACTGTGGATTCTTTGTTAAAGGCATCGTGGATCCAATGGATGTACTGAAAATATTCGTCAGGAAGCGAGATCCAGATATGGCGATCAGGTAATCATACTTGTTACATTTCTCTTCATTCGGTTTTACTTTTGCCAATGACACTTTCTTGTGGCAGATTTTTGTATTTATAAAAATCGTTAATCAATTTGAAAACTATGCTTTCCGATGATCAGGAATTTCGCTTTGTGATACATTAGATTTTCCTACTCTTTTGGGTATCTTCATACCTGCTCATGCATTGCCTTTGACATGTAGGTATGCACGTATCTTTCCGCACTCCCAACTTCTACTCTGCAATACTATGGAAGCTTTTGGGAAAAGAAAGGAATTGAAACATGCCCTAAAGGTCTTTGGAGCACTCAAGGACCAGTTGGGAGGTATCAATATGTTTGCGTGCCGAAGTATCATCGATATATGTAGTCATTGTGGTTCTTCTGTACAGGCTCGGATCATATTTGAGGTATGGGACTAGCGAACGCAGTTCAAATTTATACTTGCATATAGGTAAAAGTGGAAAAACTATATGAAGATCTAGGTGAACACATTCCAGAGCACCATAAATCACAGGTGCTGTTAGTTCCGCTATGATTCGTCAATTGGGAAACTCCTAAACATAAATCAATAAAAATATCTTTCAAGCTGTACTATTTCTGGTAAAAGAAACTGTACTATCTAGGATGGTAAACCAGAAATTTTAGTACACCTGTAAATTTCTGAACAAATTGCCCTTCCTTAATCTTTTCAGTTTGTGTCGAAACCTCAGATGTTCCCCAGAAGAGAAATTTATGCATATTCCTTGAGTTGGACCATAAAAACCAACAAAAGTGGAAATTATATGAAGGAAAAAAAACATCTGCGATTAACAATATGCATCTAATGAAATACTACTACCTTGTGCTCAACTTTTGTAAACAAATGCTATACTTTAGGTAGTCAGGTTCAGTATTCACTCATATGTATGGCTCTTACACAGGGGCTGCTTGCTGAGAAGATTACTCCGAATACACATGTCTTCAACAGCCTTATGAATGCGAATGCCCACAGCATGAGCTACAATTTTTCGGTCTACAAGCATATGCAAGTAATGCATCTTCTACCCTATTGTTGCTGTTCATAGGTAGGCTATTTAGCTTCAAGCGATTGTTTCCACTACATCATAATAAATCTTCCCTGCAACTCCACTTTTCCCAGTGAAGCTTCTAGAGGCTATCATATCCCCATTTCTTTGGCTACTATTTATTTGTTCTTACATGCTTGCTCAGGTTGTTTTGCATTATGAGGCTAATTCGTTTGCTGCCAGAATTTGACAAAACCAAAAGTTGCCAAAACTTGGTAACTTTTTTGAGAGATGGGCAAGAACCAATTGATAGCCAATTTTTTGAACTTGCCAACAATTGGTATGCCAATTATTGGCACGAAACCAAGTACTCTATATTCACTAGAATAAGCGTGTACATTGTGCGTGCGTCTAGTCGCACCTTTCATTTTTTGAATAATTTCATGCTTGCCACTATAAAGGTTTGGGATTTGCCATCGAAATCTTGCTAATTGGCACCATAGTCATGCCATAGGAAAGAATGGGAATGAGTTTTTGATGTGCACTGTTGGCTCCAATTTCCATAAATTCCCAGTCTACCCTTGTACTTTCTCTTCATCCTTGTTATGCTGTCTTCTTTCCTTTCAAGTTAGAACTGGATGAGCTGTTTGCTTTCATCGCCTTTGATGTCAGTGCATGCAACTGTGAGGTTGCCGCTGCTGTGACCATGGCCCCTGGGATAGCCTGATCCTGTGTCTGCAGGGAGGTTTTGGTGAAGTTGTGACTGATGTGGAGCGTGACCGCATGGATATATACGGAGCTTGCGCTGGAGTCCCAGCCAGTGTCCCTGCACAGAGCCTGAGATGGGGCTGGGGTGCAAGGGGCTAGCATGAGTAGGCATGGTGGAACCGAACTCAGCCCGACTTGCCTCGAGCCATCATGGCACGGGACCAGCTCTGATTAGCGTTCGTCAATGCACCTGCATAGTCTGTCTCTCTGTACATACTTACAGCTAGGGCCTTGCAGTGGCGGGTACCTCCAAGACCGTAAGCCAAGGTCATCATAGTTGTGCTGCCCACCCAATCTTAACTTGGGTGCACCACCTGCTTGATGAAATGCCTGAATGCTATGTTTTTTGAAAAAAAATTAACAGGTTAAATGGTCATTTTCACGGGCCAACTCCGTTGACTCTTGTTGGAGTAGCAACTGGCAAATCGATCTCATTTCCCATCTTTGCAGTGGCAAGTATACAGTCAGCTCAAATCTAGAAGCAAACATGCAAATCAGAAACCCTAACAGAAAGTGTAGTCCTGGTGGATTAAATTACACAACTCATGTGCAGCAACCTAATGCTCCACATATTCCATTTTGCAGAAACTTGGTGTCCGTCCTGATTTGGCGTCATATAACATACTTCTGAAGACATGTTGCAATGCTAGAGAGTTCAACACGGCACAAGAAATTTATGAGGAAATGAAGAAAAAGGAACACGATGGGATTTTAAAGTTAGATGTTTTTACATACAGTACGATGATGAAGGTATGAGGCTTCTGTTGTTATTGTCTTAGTCCATATGTGTTTCCTTTTTATGCCCCCGTAATTCTTCTCTTTGAATTTCAGGTGTTTGCAGAGGCAAAAATGTGGAAGATGGCTTCCAACATCAAAGATGACATGCGGGCAGTTGGTGCTCGTCTTAATCTAGTCACATGGTCATCATTAATCAATGCTTATGCAAATTCTGGTTTGGTTGATGGTGCCATAGAGATCCTTGAAGAAATGATAAGGGATGGCTGTCAACCTACTGCCCCATGCTTCAATATTATCCTTACTGCTTTGGTCAAGTCATGCCAATATGATAGAGCTTTCCGCTTGTTCAATAGCTGGATAGAATTTGGAATCAAGGTATCTCTGTCGCTTGAACAGAAAGGATCCCTTCCAGACAACTTCACATTCTGTGAAGAGCATCCGGGCACCAATGGCGGCACTATCTTGGTGGTTCCATTTAGGCCAACAGTTACAACTTATAACATTTTGATGATGGCATGTGGTACTAATGATGAACGTGCAAAGTCTGTAATGAATGAAATGAAGCGGAATGGTCTTTGTCCTGACCGTATTAGCTGGTCCATTCTGATGGATATTTATGGAACATCTAAAAATAGGAATGGAGCTATTCAGGTTAGTACTAAAGCTTTAAGTTGATATGTCTTGTTGTAGCAACTGATGAACGAAGTATGATCACTCCACACTAAATGCTGCTATGACATTTCCCTGATATCCTGTTGTAGCAACTAATGACCTAAATTGTCTCTTCATTAGTTGAAGTATTCCACTATATAGAGCTGACTGCGTCTCTTGTAGAATCAATAACTAATAATGAATTTAAAATACAATCTGCAAGATTTTGAACTATTTATTAGTACAGCCAATCAAGAGTCTTCAGTTTTTCTGCAGTTTAGATGGTGAATAGTCCCTCCTCCATCTAAGATCACAGTGCATACTACTTTACTGTATGAGTATATGACAGTGTAATCATAGAGAGAGAAGAGTTCCTAAAATTAGTGCATATCATGGAAGAGTTTTTATGTAATCATATGACAATTTGCAAGTGTTATCTCATGGTTTATTTGGACAAGTTGCTTCCTTGCTAAATGTGGACTAATGTTGTCTAATTTTCTGGGTACAGGCGCTCAGAAGAATGCAACGTGTTGGAATAAAACTTAATGTCTCTGCATATACTGTAGCTATTAAGGTTGGCCATTAGACAATGTAGTTGACTTGGTTAAGATACAGGGCACCACATCATGTTTGTTGTAAGCTTATAGTACCAGTAAGCTTATGTGTCAATTTCCTGCAGGCATGTGTAGAAAGTAAAGATTTGAAGTTGGCGTTGCACTTGTTTGAAGAAATGAAAGCACACCAACTGAAGCCCAATATGGTGAGTCTAAATTGTTGATTGTTATCGAGGATAATTTTGTTCTATTTGACGACTCAACTCTGTGGATGCATGCATATTTTCTTGCACTATTCTTTCTTATATTCTGAGAGTACAGATTTTTTTTCTTATAACTGGTTGGGTTTATTTCTTTATATATCTATTAGTTGTTGATGTTAGATAGTTTCATATGGCACCTGGTCTCTCTGCTCTTCACCGAACGTCCATGTTATTATTAGAGGAATTAAACTTTTGATTCCTATGGTCAATTATCAAGAATTGCATTGATGTAAGGTTGCATCAGATACTGAGGTACAAGTTCATGTTCCAGGTGACATACAGAACTCTCCTGAAAGCGCGCTCCAAATATGGATCTTTAAAGGAAATCCAGAAATGCTTGGCAATCTATCAGGAAATGAGACAAGCAGGGTATGTGACTAGAACTTCTGTATACTGTTTCTTTGGCATTCCTTTGCTTTTCTTCTCCAGTTCTTTTAGTTTAGAAATTTGTGCTTGTATAGATGGAAGCGTCTACTATGCCGCCCATGAAATGTGCCTTGAGATCTACACACGTTCTCTTACCCTATCTCAATAAATGTAAGCAATCAAGTGATAATGTGTGCGCATCTGAAGTCACATTTCGTGCTGAGAAAATGTGCCTTGAGATCCAACACATTGTGTTAACCTATCGCAATAAATGTAGGCAATCAGGTGAGAGAGCGTGTGCTCATCTCGAGTCACATTTCATGGTTGAGATATTAGGAGCATCCACCCATACAAGGACAAAATCCAATCTCTTCTTTCTAGAAGAAAAGGGGTTTAAAAGGTTTATTTGATATACAGGTTTTTGTATAGAAGCGTTTTCATAACAGAAATAATGTATAGTAGAAATTCCTTCAAGTTACGAAGTTATGATTTATAAATAATACCAACAAATATCAACAGAGGAGCAATCGTGCGAGCATTTTTTTTGGTTGATAATCCTTCTATTGTTCCATGATAGGAAGCATGCCGACAAGCTGTCAGCGGATAGACTGATACTATCACAGCAAAGGGTATATAAGTATATGTTTTGTTTCTGGGTTAAATTTGTTGTTTTGCCCGTGACAGGTATCAAGCATATGACTATTATCTCAAGGAATTGATAGTGGAATGGAGTGAAGGAGTCTTGTCTAGTGATGGTGGGAATCGAAATTTTTACCATTTAGATCGAAAAGATGAGAGGAACGAATCATTCGACCTTTTTCTTGAAAAAGTGGCAAGATTCTTGCAAAAAGATGTTGATCAAAACCAAACTGTTGATGTTCGTGGGCTTTCAAAGGTAATCTGAGATTGAGAGTATCTGTCTACTAATGTATCATATGCTAGTGTTTCAAATCTTTGCATTAATAGAAAGGAAGTTACAACCCACAGACCTTACAATCTGTTGTACTAACTGGAAGTGTCATCTTGCATCAAAGTGATAAATGATTCTCCATGAGTGAAGTAACTCCAAGTGGCATATTTTGAGCTCAGTTGAATATATTCTAAGCCATCTACTCAACTGTATGTTTCACAGGTTGAAGCTCGCATAGTTGTTCTCTCAACTCTCCGCAAAATTAAAGAGAAGCATCTTTTAGGTAACCTTCAGCGCTGTAACTTTATCTGTATGACTATTAGAGTCAAGATGGTGTATATTCTACTGACAATTCAAGCCTACTTGGTTATTCTTATTTTTTTTTTTGAGTAGGAAGAGCAGTCCAGGATGATTTGGTCATCATCACGGGTCATGAGAAGACATCATACACTGATGTCGAAACGACTGCTATCGACGTCGAGTATGCAATAACTTCTGTTTTGAAGGATGAACTGGGTCTTGAAGTTTTCGTTGGACCAGAAAGCCGTCCTCCTGTTTCATCCAAACTCAGAGCCCCCCCATGCCCTAGGAGACCACAGGGAATGATAAAAATAACTGTCAACTCATTGAATCATTGGCTGAAGAGGAAATCTGCGAGGGATGTACAGTGACATCTCCTTGGGGCATTTCTTTGGTCAATTTATACCCGCAAGACTATCCTGGATGGATGATGTACATACAACAATAGGGCTATTGCTCTGATGTCCCCGGGACTCGGCATAGGACGATACCAGAAGGAAAGATTTGTTGGTGGCCAATGTAGTCTGATTTGGTCCAGTATATTCAGATATATGGAAAATCACATTATTTGGGGCTGTAAATGTAACCACGTCAATCCTCAACCGGGTAGCATCCCAGGTTAAAATTTTGAAGTGATTAGATGATTGTTGTAATCGCCAATCTTCCACATCAAATGACAAACATTTTGACACAGTACTGATTTGTCCATCTTTTCACAACAGATTTATGGGCCTCTTTAATTCACAGGATTCTCAAAACACAGCATTAGGAAAAAAAATACAGGATTTGAATGTCATGCCTATTCCAACCTTGCATTATTTTGGTTTGTTTGATTGGGAAACAAAGGGTTCTTTCCAAGAGGTTTGAGTGGATGCTTAACTTTTCTATGAGATGTAGTACAGTGGAATCCTTAGGAAAAGTTCCTATAGGATTCAATCCTAACCAATCCAGAAATAATTTCTGAAGAATCAGAACAACTAATTGGGAAATAATTTCTAAAGATTCTAATCCTCCATACAATCTACGAAAATCATACCCAAGCCTCTATTCCAGGCAAGGTTTTTGCCCCAACATTCATCCACTTGGATGAAAGTGACCCATGGTGAATTTTGGGCTTGGCACATGATATTATTTTGGTAAATGGCTGTGTACAAACGCTTTGTGGATTTGGTGTTTAGTTTCAAATTTTTTGAACTTGTGTGCTGAATTCTTGGGTGCGGTTGGGTGCGGTTAGCGATTTTCCCGCTCTATGGTGAAAAACGGTGCCGCTTCCATCACCTGATCTGGAGGGTTCTTGTGTTTTTTGATCGGTGCCGCTTTCATGTTTTGATCTAGAGTCTGCTTTTTGTTTCTGGTTTGCGCCGCTGTAGTCGTTTGATCTCGAAACCTCGCCACATACCACCATCGCTTACGTCCTGGGGGTTATAAATAGATCGTCCTTCTTCTCATATCATTGTGCTAGGTTTTTTTTGGGTTAGCATATACTGTTTCTATGGTATATCCTTCTTCCTGTCGTAATGGAACGCGGCGTCCTGCTCGGCCTCCTCCGTCGCGGGGAGCTCTGGTTGGCCGGTGTGGTGGTTCGGGTTGTCTTGTTGCGCCGACCGTTGTCTCGGCTCGGCCCGTATGTATGGAGCATGCTTCGTCCTCTGATGATCGGCCGTTGCCGCCGCCGCGCCCTGGCTGTCGGCAACTCGCTGTTGCTGCCCCGGGCCTCGTAATCTCCCCTGACCTTCTTTGCGGTGCTGGCGGGCCTGGTGAGGATCAGCCACAGCTTCGGCTCCGGCATCGCCGTGAGTCTGTCCAACCGGCCGTCCGCGGCCGACAGTGACTACGTCGAAGATGTTGTCGATTGGTTACGGGCTGCGCGGAAACCGGGTGTCCCGGCGGCCGACGCTTGCGTATCCCCTTGGCGGGGCCATGGTCTCCGCTCGGACGTAGTAGGACGCCCTATTCGGGGAGCATAAATCCTGCGGCAACAACTCAATGACAACGACGACGGCATCACCACCGCCGGATAACGATCACTTGCCGGTGCGAGCGGTGTGACAATGGCGAGGGCGGATGCTCCTGGTGCAGCAGACAGCAGGTTGCTCTGTGGCGCCGACAAGGGGTTAGGTTGCAGCGTCGGGGCGGAGGGGAGGCAGACAGTAGGATGGTCTCGAAGGCGGCCACACTGCGCAGGAGCGACTGGAGCCGGAGTGGTCCGTTGTTAGCCAGGATCGACTGTTGCTGATGATGCTGTGGGCATGTGGATGAGTACGTGGATCTCAACGTGAAACGTCCATCAGCAAGGCACGGCCTGGCGTTGCGCACTGCACTGCTATGTGATGCTATTGAACATGAAGTGCACTCAAACCGCGAGGCATGCCATCCGCGTTGTATCCCCTTGCATGGTCCGACGAGGTTTCGCGTACGTCCAGGTTCGTGTGATCATCTCTCTCTCTCTCTCATATTTTTTGTGTAGCTCAATAGCGGGGGAGATTTGCAAGTGGTCAAAATTTTGGTGCTATCATTGCTATGTAATGAGACAAGGTTTCTCCTGATCCTCTTTCTTCTTGATAATCCATATAGGGATTGCTTCTGTCGATTATTTTGAAGCCTTTTCTTGTAGACTAAAGGTTCAGAGATGGCCACTAACTGATTGGTGTTATTTAGCTTTAGGTTTTTTTTGTGCTCTTAAGGTATAGTATCCCTTTCATCATTACTGCAAACATTTACTATCTGTCCTTGGTGCAGGAATTTGCAACCGTTAAACCCACGGTGGTTCCGGTGTGGGATATATTCTTCATGGTCCCGTGTGATTTGCTGCATCTGCTGTTAATTTGATGATATGGTTTTTGGGATGACCATGATTTACTCCCTTCTAATATTTGTTCTATGCAAGCATCAAGACTGAATAATATGGGTTTACCCCCTTATCATATTTGTTGTATGTAGGCATCAATACTAGAGATATGGTTTTAACCCCTTCTCATATTTTTTTCTGAACGATCTCTTCTCATATTTATTGTATAGATGCATCAAGCTATGATGAATTTGGATGACATACTATTAACTTACATAATAAGACCCTTGCGGGGTGAAAAGCCGGAAGCAATTGCAAGGCATTAACAATCTGTTTTTCTTACGAACAACTGCCCCATATACAAGCTCTATCATGTTAACCACTGATGTGAACTTCCTCAGCTATCATTTCATTACGAACACAAAACCAATGGGCGGTCAAACAAGGATGCCTTGAATTACCAAGGAATCAGAAATTTATCATGCAATATCAATATGTATTCTCTTTATGTACAATTAATATACTGACTCTTTTCATTCAATAAAAATTTTCTTTATGAAAGATTATAGCATTTGTACCAATATAATTTTTTTACATACACCATAATATAAAATTTGAAGTGAACACGTAAAAAGTGAATAAAATAATTAAATAATTGGTATATGAAGTTTAATATTATTGTACATAGAATTTCTCACATAAAGTATCAATAGGCGCGGCGTGCCACCGCACGGGCATGGAGATTTAACATGGCTCGCTAGCAAGTAAGTACCCAACAGAATGAATTTGCAAGACAAACAATGATCTTGGCGATAATATGCAATGATTTCTCCGACGTGGCACTTCTTCGCATGTATCCCAACGTCCTCATAGAGATGAACCCATCATTACATATAAAGGAGCTAAGACACCCGTTGAACAGGTAGAGGAATTTGCAAAAGCTCTTGACTACTTCATTACAAACTATCTTACAGGAGACTACACTAGGATGATTTAACTCAATTAGGCCATCCGCAATCATTTACTTTCATGCAGTTGCATCATTGTATATGGTATGTTCCATACTTCCTCCGTCACAGTTTAGAAGGCACAGTTAAATTTGCGTGCGTTTCCACAATAGACAAGGTTTAGGGCGTATTGCATTTATTTCTAGTAGCTAATTAGTACTCCGATATACTATTTCTATATGCATGCGTAGTGCGAATGTTATTTTTTAGCCCATCTCACAACCAATAGATAACCACCTAGGTTCCAGAGAATTTCCAAGCGCGCCTTCTAAACCGTGACCAAGTAGAACGGTCTTTATAATGTGCCAATAAGTAGACCTTATGAGTAGCGTGTACACTTCTGTTGATCAGTATTTATCATACATGGCTGCAATAAATGTACTCATTTTCCACCTTTTAGAACTCTTTCTGGGTTTTAGTTATGCAATTCTATCATTAAAAATATAACAATGGCCTTTACGATCCGTATAAATATAATGCATCATCAGGCGCAGCGTGCCGTCGCACGGGCTATGCTAGTTTCAACCAAAGAGGCCAAAGCTTTCAGGTGATCTGACCTGTGCATGCGTTTGCACAGATAAATATTGAAACAAACTACATTTTGTTTTAGCAGGATATACAGATAAACATAAGTATCCCTTCCAAAAAAAACTAAAGTATGGCAGTAGCTCTAATCTCTTGCAACCGATTTTCCAGATGCGAATGCTAGCTTCTAAATACAGGCATCAGAACTTACACCAAATTCTATCTTCAGCAGTACAAGAAAAACACAACATACAAATTTTCAAATACACATAAGTCATATCTAATTCCACAGATGCAGATACTTCTAAATGCAGATATCACAAGTACACAACATACAGTTTTTCAAATACATAAAATCATACAAAGGGACTGCCGCACAAATGTTATGCAGCACAGATGAGGTATTTTTAAGCTAGCCCCCCGCAGGTGTCAAATTGATGCTCCTAGATCAAGCTGCTCTTTCTCTGTATCATCTGCAGCTGGAAACATGATACCACGTTTAGTAGCAATATTGGTTAACTCGTGCATCCTGATTGAATATTCTACGCTTTTGTCAGTCTACTAATCATGAGGAAGGATGCCCTTATGTAATGCCAAGGTACACTGAATACTACTCTCTCCGTCCCATAATATAAGACGTTTTTGACACTAGTGTAGTGTAAAAAACACTTTTATATTAGTGTAAAAAACACTCGCATATTACGGGACAGAGGGAGTAATTCCCAGTCACAGATGATAACATTTTTATACTAACTTGCATAAGGCTTATGTCCTTAGTAAAATGCATCAAGAAGATGAGAATGTATTGGATCAGTAATGAAACCAACCAAACTCAACATGAACACAAAGATAAAGAGCAACACGATCATCTATTCACCTGCCATCAGAAGAGATCTCAAATCCAGTCCTCCTGCTGCAGCTTGAGGGGTAGATATACCTCAGTCAGGTACTGGAACCCAAAGGAGCTGAGAGCCTGAATCTCAGCCTTTTGTTTTGTTCGCAACATCGTCTCCAACTCCTTGACCCATCCTTCATTTTGCTTTACGAAGTCTTCCTCTAGCATCTCTTTTCCTACCTTGATATCGTGATCAGTCATGGGAAGCCGGCACTGCTCCGGTACCCTGTACTTGTCCAGATCACTTGGCCGCACGCCAAGCCACTTGATATCTGGCGTTGTCAGATTGGCACTGTCATACGACATGTTCTTGGAGCCGCACATATACACGGACAAGATCTTCAGCCCATATGGATCAGAGTCCACCAATGCGAGTACCGGCAGCTTCAGCTCTACCTTAAGCCGGCGCAAGAACAACCTGGTGGCAACATCCGGCTGTCCCTTTGCTGTCAATATGATGCACGGAAAACGGTTGTAGAACCGGTCCTCAGCGAGGCGCATGAAAGCAGCATCTTTCTCCACAAGCAAGATGAACAGAGCGTCGCTCTCAATGCCTGACACCCTGTCGATGTTGGGCGGGATGGCCTTACCGCCGACGCCCATTCTCGTGCAGTCAATGACGTCGCCGTCATCAGCAAAAGTGAGGCGGCCAACCACAACGCCCTTCTCAGAGGCGACGACATGGAGCGACGAGCGGGTGCATCCAAGCATGCAGGAGACGTCATCGAGGATGGCGTCCGACTGGGACTGGTCGCCGAAGAGCTTCACGTCGGTGTAGAAGAGATCCCTCTTGGTGACGTGGATGCCCCTGCGCAGGACGGCGTGGACGAGGGAGAGGACGCGCGCGGTGACGGTGGCCTTGCGCGCGGTGGCGACGTTGGCGAAGGGCCTCGCGGACTCGCGGCGGAGGAGCACGATGCGGTCGAGGTCCGGGAGGTATACCTGGTTCGAGGAGGCGCGGGAGGGGACGGCGAAGGAGAAGCCGCGGCCAGCCAGGATGCTCCGCGCGACGGAGAGGACGAGGCGGTTGATGCGGGAGGTGACGGAGGTGGTGTCCTGGTCGGCGACCACGATGTAGTTGGAGGAGGCGGATGCCGGGTCGTCCTCGGAGAGGGCTTTCGCGCCGGCTGAGGACGCGGCCGCGGGCTTGGATTTGGAGGCGGCGGAGGCGAGGGCGCGGAGGGAGGCGAGGATGGAGGCGTCCGGGCGGAGCTTCGAGCGGAGGGATTGGGCGTAGGATGCGGCGGCCGAGGCGCCGCGCGGTTTCTTCGAGGTCGAGCCCCCCGCGGCCGCATCTGCCCCCGCCCGGCGCTTCCTCTCCGACATGTGGAGAGATCTGGAGGCGGAATCACCGGGGAGGAGGGGTGGGGGGCACTACGGCGGAGACGGCGGCGGGATTCGAACTGGAGTGTGGCTGAGGCTTTGGTGAGCATGGGAGGGACGGAGACGGTCCGCACTCCGCACCTACCCTATGCGCCAAGCGCGCGGCCCACGAAGCCCGTAGTAGCTCGGCCCAGCAACACGTCTCGCTGACGTTTTTTTTCTTGTGCGCCAGCCGCCAGATGTCTCCGTGAAGGTTAAAAAAAACAACTGTCTCCGTGAAGTTTTTTTACTCACTGTCCATCTACACCCGGCCTGAACAATAAATTCAATCTAAACGTTTTTATATTAGTTTACAGAGGGAGTAGAAGATACCAAAGAATTTGAATTTTTTAGGCATCTAAAATGTTCATATACGCAAGATTTATGCAAATTTTTGTGGCATTTGTATATCTGAGGAGCTCGTGCCTCCCTCCTGTTCGCACATGAACACGTCACGTGTACCCTCGACGCCGAGGGTGATGCACCGCAGCCAGTGGCGGAGCTAGCATTTGACGACAGGATGGTCCGGCTCAAAAAATTGACAACAAATATGCCATGTGAACGTTCTTTTGTTTTTGAGGAATCCATGTAAATGTTCTGACTAATTACCTTCAGTCAAATAGCCAAAATTATGAAGTCATACACATCTAATCAAAATTAGAATGATGTACTGCAATGTATACTAGTCAAATTCAGATGGGGATGTAGTGCAAAATTATGTAGTATATGTGTACTGTAAAAAACATAAGCGGATGGAGTACATCACTACTTGTCTATGAAAGAAGGTCTGATGGGATGGGGTGCATCAATTGTCTGCTGAGCACCTGAGCGGACTAGATGACTCCAGCTAGCAACGCGGCTGGGCTGGGCGCACTGCTGCGCGGTGGTGCGCCGTGCGCGCCTATGCAGACAACACAACCCACCGGAGGCAGGCGGGGCAGGCACCAGTCAGGCCGCGGGTCAGGACTGTCCGGCGAGGCGACGCCGCAATGGCGAGGCAGGCGGCTCGGGCGCTCCGTTGGCGGCAGATCGATCTCGTGCGTAGCTGCGTTCGCTTCGGGACAGCAGTAGTGAAGCAGACGAGAAGCGCAGACTGCTTGTTACTGGGCTTTTTCCTCCTGCCTCCATCATTGAATAACCTAGTCCGAAATCCCAGGGTGGGCCGCGGCCCACCCTGTCCACCCTGTGGCTCCGCCACTGACCGTAGCTCACGTCGAAGGAGTCTTACCGGAAACGCGATTCGCAACACAACGGAGAGAACTTTTGAAGAACCGAAACCCCACACTCCCGGGAGCGACCCCGTCGGGGAGTGCGGCGGCTATGGGCTGCCACAGGTTGGCCAACCGCCCCTAGAGCCTCGGGATTCGCAGCTCTCCAACACGAAGAACGACGAAGAACGAGGAAGCAAAAACAGGGGAGAGACAAAACGTAGATGAAAAAGTAGTAGATGTGTTTTTTTGCGATTGTGTGTTGTTCAATCGGCCGTCACCTCTCATTTATTTATGAAGCGGCTGAACTTTCCGTACAAGAAAAGGATTAAAAATTCCGTTCAAAACATCAAAAACCCTAATCTAACTCGGACAGGAATCTTTGGTAATTTCCCGGACCAACTCGGTCTCACCGATTGGTTCATTTCGGTCCCACCGAGTGAACGTTGCCAACTCTCTGTATCCTTCTGTAATTTTTCGGATCAACTCGGTCTCACCAATTGGTTTGCTTCGGTCCTACCGAGTCGACATTGCCAACTCTCTGGTAAATTTTCGGACCAACTCGGTCGGTCCGAAATGACTCTGCAGCTTCTATTTCTGACCTTGTTTTGCCTCCACAGATTTCATACGACTTCGGATTAAGATGATTTTTATATCAAAATTCACCGTTTCGACGAGACGCACAACTTTCATGTTGAAAAGCTTTCCATCAGAGGCCGTCTTAATTGAGTTTCATGCCATTCTTTAATCTGGTGTCAACATGAGCATCTCCGAACTTGTCATAACTATTACATCCGAGCTCCGCTATAGACCATCTTCATATCCATCTCGATCTTCTTAGAGAGAGCCATCCGAAGTGACCTCCAATCCTAAGTTTGAATTAGTCTTTATATAGCCTAAGCTAATTTTATGACTATGTCACTTTTGAGCATCAACACATGCCCCTTGTTTTTCGGCATGACTAGCGTGCCGGAAAATAACTTGTACCAAGTTTGTTCCAAGGACGATGTCAACACTCCATCGGCCATTTATATGTTCTTTGGGCGATAAGTATATATCGGCCATGTTTATGCTAAGGGCGGTAATTATTTATCGGCCGTTGCCTATCTAGGCTTCTTGCCACACACTTGGATGGTACTTCTTTAAATATTTTCCATTGAGAGATCGAGGTAACAATGCCCCTTGTACGGATTCCACCAAATATGAGTTTCCAGGAGCTACTCTTGTAATTCTAAAAGGACCTTCCCAACTTGGAGACCACTCCCCGAATTTTCTGTCTTTCGAACCAATTGGTAGAATCACCTTCCACAAGAGATCGTCAACTTGAAAAGTCTTCAACTTGACCTTCTTATTGTAAACTCTTGCCACCCTCAACTTATCTCTTTCTATGGCCTCCAAAGCAGCCAAACGTTTATCAGCGACTTCATCAATATTGTCCATCATCAAGTTATAAAAGTCCACTGCCGATAAATCATTCTATTTGGCTATTCTCAAAGCATTCAAATTCACTTCCACTGGTAAAACGGCCTCTTGACCATATACGAGCTCATATGGAGTTACCTTTGTAGCACCATGCCTTGAGATTCTGTGCGCCCATAAAACTTCAGACAGTAGCTCATGCCATCTCCTTGGATTATCCTCAATCTTCTTCTTGACGAGCTTGATTAATATTTTATTGCTAGATTCAGCTTGTCCATTGGCTTGGGCATAATATGGAGAGGAATTGAGCAACTTTATCTTATATGATTCGGCAAATTCTCTAACTTGATGTGACATAAAGGATGAACCTTGGTCTGTAGTTAATGTTTGAGGAATGCCGAATCTATGAATAATGCGCTCAGTTATGAATTGAATCGCCTTTGTACGCGTCATATTTTTGAGTGGTATTGCTTCAGACCATTTAATGAAATAATCAGTCGCCACCAACACGAACCGATGCCCCTTTGAAGAAGGATGAATCTCTTCAATAAAGTCTAATCCCCAACCTCTAAAAGGCCACGACTTGATAAGAGGATGTAACATAGCAGTGGGAGCCAACTTAATATCACCAAACTTTTGACAAGCTTCACATCCTTTATAATACCGAAAGCAATCATTAACCATTGTCGGCCAATAAAACCCAGCACGTCGTAATAACCATTTCATCTTGGGAGCCGACTGATGAGTGGCACAAATACCTTCATGGACCTCTCCCATAGCAACTCTCGCTTGGTCCTCGTCCAAGCACTTTAAAAGAACATCATCAACCGTTCAGCGATAGAGACCATCATCTCTCATTGTGTATTTGAAATCCATACGCCGAACAGTCATGTCCACCCTTTTACTAGGATCACACAAATAATCAATAATGGGTTTCCTCCAGCCTTGATTTTCTCCTGCATTAAATATTTCATTAGTGGCCGAAACGGTAGGCTCCGGTTAGGCCTCCCCTATGTTGGCAAGACTAGACATCGGCCTTTGAGAAATATGAAACATGCCACGATCAACATGATAGCCAGATGCTTGTTGTGCCAACTCATTTGCTCTCCAACTGTCATGTCTAGGTATATGAGCAATGCTAAAATAATCCAAAGTAGAAATTATATCTAGACATTTATATAAACATTAAGTGATTCGTCAAAACATTGAAAGACTCTGGATATTTGTTGCACTACTAATAATGAATCACCAAAAGCCTCAATATGTGTAGCACCTACGGCAAGCAACATTTTTAAGCCGAATAACAATGCTTCATATTCAGCTTGATTATTTGTGCAAAAATATTCTAAGAGGCATGAGGCTTCAAAAACAGCACCATGAGGAGATATATAAACAATACCAACACCTTGGCCATTGCTACAAACTGAACCATCAAAATATAATCTCCATGGTACTAACGAGACACGTTTTATATCAATATCTTGCTTGTCATCAATCCGATGCTCAACAATAAAATTAGCAACGATTTGGCCTTTCATGGATTTAAGAGATATATAAACAATACCAACACCTTGGCCATTGCTACAAACTGAACCATCAAAATATAATCTCCATGGTACTAATGAGACAAGGTTTATATCAATATCTTGCTTGTCATCAATCCGATGCTCAACAATAAAATTAGCAACGATTTGGCCTTTCATGGATTTTAGAGACTCATAAGCCAAATCATATTCAATTAAAGCATAAGCCCACTTGCCAATTCATGGATTTCAGAGATTCATAAGCCAGAAGGTTTTGTCAATCCTAAAGGTACTAACAAAATATGCAAGCTCCAGCGATCCATCTATGGACTGGTGCAAGCATCTCGGAGTTGGAATATACTCTTTGATAAGTTGATCAAAGCATATAGTTTTATATAGACTTGCGGTGAAGCCTGTATTTACAAGAAAGTGAGTGGGAGCACTACAACATTTCTGATAAGTATATGTGAATGACATATTGTTGATCAGAGATAATGTAGAATTATTCTACAAAGCATAAAGGAATGTTTTGAAAGGATTTTTTCAACGAAAGACCTCGGTGAAGCTGCTTACATATTGTGCACCAAGATCTATAGAGATAGATCAAGATGCTTGATAAGTTTTTCAATGAGTACATACCTTGACAAGATTTTGAAGTAGTTCAAAATGGAACAGTCAAAGAAGGAGTTCTTGCCTGTGTTACAAGGTGTGAAGTTGAGTAAGACTCAAAACCCGACCACGGCAGAAGATAGAGAGAGAATTAAAGTCATTCCCTATGCCTCAGCCATAGGTTCTATAAAGTATGTCATGCTGC